AATCCATATGGAAAAGAGTGTTATGTAGTAAGCAAAATATTAGTAATACTATGTCTATTAGTAAGGTCATTTCTCCAAAATCTTCTTGGAATTTGAGAAGTATTGCTAATTATTTTTTGAAGAATGATTCGGCGGGTGAGTGTCTTAGATCATTTTCGAAGTTGCAAGTAGGCAATGGTAAGTCCATATCTTTTTGGACTGATCCATGGGTGGATGAGGTTCCTTTAAAAATTATTTTCCCTAGAATTTTTGCACACTCTACTAACAAATGGGGTAAGGTTGCTGATTTTGGAAGCTTTGAGTTGAATGGTTGACAGTGGAACATTATTACTAGGAGTAATTTGTCTGATTGGGAATTGAACAATGGTTGGATTTGATGATGAAATTAAAGGAAATAAAACTCACTGATTCGGTTGAAGATTTTCTCTCTTGGTCTGCAAGTGGTGATGGGTTATTCTCAGTAAAATCGTGCAGGAAAGCTCTTGGTAAGGAAGTTGGGGGTATTGATTTGTGGTCAAAAGGGGTGTGGTTGGGGTTGGGTTTGTCTCCGCCTCGTGTAGAAGCTTTCCTATGGCAGTTAGCTCACCAGAAAGTTACAGTTAAAATGGAGTTAGTGAAAAGAGGAATGTCCTTAGAAGAAGATATTCTCTGTCCTTTCTGCAAGGAACATGAGGAATCTGTGCAACACTTGTTCATTTCGTGTTTTGTAGTTTGGGAACTATGGAATAAATTGGCAAGCTTCTGGGACTTGTCTATTGTGCTACCATAGGACCCTCCTTCCTTACTTAATTCGTGGGGGAGTTTGAGGTTGAATTCATTGATTTGGAAGTTTATCCCGGGAGTCATTTTTTGGTCTATTTGGAAAGCAAGGAATGCGATTGTGTTTGAAGGTTTAAACCTTGATAGGCTGTCTCTCTTTTTCCTTGTGAGATTTAGGTTATCTAAATGGTTCCTAGCCAAGTATCCTAAATTCCCTATTCAGGAAGATCTGCTAATTAGGGATCCATCACTTGCTGATGGTATTTCTGTTCCTAAACCTAAGGATCATTCTGTTATTGGTTGGCTTCCTCCACCTGTTGATTTCTTAAAGATGAATGTTGATGGAGCTGTGAGGTTAAATGACTCGATTGGAGGTATTGGAGGCATTTTAAGGGACTGGAATTGCTGCACTCTTTTGACTTTTTCAGAGAATATTGGTCAAGGTCCCCCACCAGTTGCAGAGTTAAAGGCTATTAAAAGAGGCATCGAAAATTTTCTAGCTTCAAGTTGGTCTGCTGCCAGTAGATTGGTTGTTGAGAGTGATTGTAAGTCGGCAGTGGAGTGGATTCACACCCCGTCTTTGGCACCAGTTTTCATGTTGCCTCATGTTAAAGAAATTGATCCTTTCTGAAAAGGTGGTTTTAATTAGGTTAATTCTAAGGTCTTGTAATGGGGAGGCAATAGTTTAGCAAAGCAGGGGATCGGTTGATTGTATGTTTTAGTTATAGTTTATTTTTCTATGGCTGTAGGTTTTTGAAGTAGCTGAAGTTGTTAAGTCTAATGTAAAATCATCTGTTGTATTGTTAAGTCTTATGTAATTCCGGTTTGGTAATAAAATGAGGCACTCTTTTCCTCCCTCCACTACTTGATCCTTTCTGTTAGGAAAGGGTCAACTATGAGGGAGGTTTTTAACGAGGCTTCCTATTCCTATCAAAAAAAAAAAAAACAAGTGGCACACCAACTCTGGCTTCGGCTCCAAACCACAGACCGTGCAGAGAGAATCCTCGATTCCTCGAACACCCTGACTCAGTAAGACAATCTTAACAACCAACTTCTGGTGGAGCACCTGCCAAAGAAAAACCTCCACTTTTGGAGGAGCTAACCCAACCCAAACAAGCTTTGACCAGGACAAATCCGGATCGGACATGCTAGATACTAAGTTAATGCAAGATTTAACCGAATAAACACCCTCCCCGTTTCCCTTCCAAGCGTAGCAATCATCCACCTCCAATCCAAGACGGACACTATCCAACAAAAACAGCAGTTCAATCCATTGATCATATTCACTATCCAGCAAATTCCGTCTCATTTGAATGTCCCAAACCCACCTCCCATTGCTTACACATTCAAAGAATAATCTAAAATGCCACACTTTGAGTACATAATCATCAAGGAAGTGACAACAAATACATTGGGAAAGAAACAATTCTTTGCAGCAAAAGCATGAATCTCCATCCCATGATTGAGAGCCCTCAGCCTTGAGCAAACAGGAAGAATTGTTGAAACCGTAACATCAGGCTTAAACCCTTCCTGTTGCATCCGTACAACTGATCGCAAAGCATGCTTAAGCCTCCCATTTGATATGTATCCCGACATCAAAGCAGTCCAAGAAATTGCATTCCTTTCTTCAGAACAATCCAAGGCTTCCCCCTGCATCCTATTATGAGCAAAACCCACAATCCTCGAACACGCGGTGAGCGAACTTAATCTTCCTGCATTTAAAGTACAAGTCGATCAATCCCATCCTAAACATTGAACTATTAATGAAACCATATTTAAACAAAAGGGCATGAGCCTTTAAGCCTTGTCTAAGCGTTGATGCACACATGAAGCTCTTAAGAAGAGTAGAGAAGTGTACTCATTCAATTCGATCTCCAACGACCTCATTTCACAAAACATAGAAAGCACATCCAAATATCATTTTCCACCCAACACAATACTCCCTCTAAGCAAAGCATTCCAAGAATAAGAATTGTTGGTAGTACATCCATCAAACACTCTTTGGGCTTCCTCGATGGAGCCACAATTTGTGTACATGTGAGCCAGTTTGGCACGTAAAAACTCGTTGCTTTCGAGCCCATTGGTGTGAATGTGAGTGTGGATTTGTCTTGTTTTCGAGCCCATTGGTGCGAATGTGAGCGTGGATTTGTCTTCCGTCGGCTATGGAGTTCAGCACAAAGGGGCGTAGTGGTAACAACTCTGGTGAAGGAGCAAAAATTAAGAGATTCAAATTTAATAATTGGAAGGAAGGCCATACAAATGCTAGTAATGGGTACAGAAGTGGATGCTTCACGTTATTCATTGAAAACCTACCAGAGAAGATCCATTAGAAGAGACTTGGATCTTTATTTTGCACTTACAGTCATGTTATTGATGCCTTCATTCCTAACAAAAGAAATTCGAAAGGTGTTCGTTTTGGGTTCATTCGCTTTGCAACAATCGAAGAAGCAAGGAAAGCGATATCAAAGATGAATGGTGCTCATATTTACGGCAGCAAAATCAGAGTCTTTTTGGCTAAATATAAACCTCGACAGTCTTATTGGAGAAAGTCCTCGACAGTCAACGTAAGTCTGGGATGGAAGATGTTTCGAGGAATAAACACTGTGAAGTTGAGGGTTTTGTGGACGAAGATAAACTTCACGTGTTGAGTAACTGTCTTGTGGGGTGGTGCAAGAACTTTATCAAAATCGGTGATCTTGCTAACCAAATACAAGCCAAAGGACTAGCTGGTTTCACGCTAATGAGAGCTGCTGGAAATGTAGTTCTAATGGTTTTTGAAGACTCTGATTCGTTGAGAAGCGTAAAGGATGATAAATTAGAGACTCTTGCAAAATGGTTTTTCAAAGTTGAAACTTGGTCACATTGCAGTTAAGTGGGGCAAATTATTAGCAATTGACAAAAGCTGTGAGTTTCCATCGTCTTTTGATCATGCTAAAATTCAAATACTCACAAAGGATCAAGTGAGAATTGATAGAGTTGAAGGTCAGTGCTAATTTATTCAAAATCATGGTTCATGAATTTGATCTTTCATTCAAACCAAATTCTTGGGTCCCTGAAGATTGCAATATTTCATTAGAACTTGTTCCTTCATTTGGATCGTAACTGTTCTGCAGCTGTATTCAGAGGCGCTTCTTTTAGATTTTTTTGGTTGCAAGTGTTGGTTTTTATTTTGTTATGTTCTTTTGCAACTTGAGGTGTATTTTAGAAATTGGGTTACTGTCTTTGGGGCTTTTTGTTTGATGATGGGAGATTTTTAGGTGATATGGTTTTTGTAATGGTGTATATTCCCGTATGAGGTTATTCCGTGTTTTCACATGTACTTCGTGTTCTAATTAATAAATTATGAGGCACTCTTTTCTTCCTTCCAATGTTCTTCAACATACTTCTAAGTATATGGAAGAATACGAAGGGAGTTTTTAATAAGATCTCTAACTTTTATATAAAAAAAAAGGATTTGGTGCTAACACAAGCGGCAAGGAGGGAAGAGAAGGTGGTGGGATTGAAAGGGATGCCTTGTCCGTCAACATAGTCCAAAATGAAATAGTGATCGTTGACTGTTTTACACGTGGGTTTTTTATTTTTATTTTTTATTTTATTTTTTAATTGCCACGTAATACTTCCTTTAATGGGTTAACGGACATTAACGGCGGAGAGACTTAAATCGGACAGGCCGATAACATTAGGGATCAAGCGCACTTAGTTAAAAAACCGGTGACCAAAGTCGATCAGACCGGAAACAAATGGGACTATTGGCATAGTTTTCCCTAAAATTATTTGTAGAATGGTAGTCTTGTTTAAGCTCATTTTTTTTTTATAATATATAATCCTTTAATGCAGTTGGGTTGTACCATGTTGAGATCTATAGTTCAACAATTCCTGCAAAATTATTGTATAACCCCGTTAAAATAGTTCACATCTCCATTTCCACTTACTGAATTTATTATTTAAGAAAAAAATAATGAATGTAGTCATGTTATTTCTCATTTTCGTGAGTCCTGAATATTATATTTTTCCTTTCAAGTAGGCAATTCTGAAAAACTATATCATTCATTGTACTTTAACTAATTCTAGTGGGGTTTTAGATTTGGAATTAGACCTCAGTTTGGAATTATGATATCAGTTGTATACTGAAGTTAAGCCGAGGCTTTAAAAGTGCACAAATCATGATTGATTAGAATAGTGTACGGTATTGTAAGTGCTGTGCTGCTTTCACAATTTCATGAGTTTTGTCTTTATAACAGTTGCAATACAAGGAGGCAGAGGGTTCATCTTTCCGTGATGGTTCCTATGGTGATATGCCAGGTTCTTCGAAGGTTGAAAATCTGTTTCTCTGATCCCTTTTATTCTCATATAGAATTGTATGTGTGTGATTATCAATGGTTCAAATATTGAAAATTTGGGGGTCTGTCATGAGCAGCGATCACAACGTGCTGTAGATCAGGATCGTACATTTGTCCCCGACTCTATTAGTTTTGGAGGTAGTATATATCTGATCTTAATTTATTTTTATCTGAGATAGGCGAGTTTAGTGGTTTTGATTACTTTCATATTTGATAGTAATTCCAGGTGATAGAGGTGTAAAAAGAGAGCAAAAACGAAAGGTATGTCCTAATTATATTTTTAAGTGTGTAGTATTTTCTTTCCTTTGTGGATTCCTTATGTCCTAAGTGTGGAATATATGTGGTGTTATGATGTGGTAGGGACCTGGGAGAGCATCTGAGACCCCATCTTCACCAGCAGGAGCTCATAAAAGGCCAAGAAAGATGAAGGCTTCTGATCTATAATATAGGGCAAGCGACCAAATTGTTTGTTGCCTCGTACAGGCAAATGATGATGATATTGCTTTGTTCGAATCGGCGAAATTCTCACCAGCCTGGTTATGATTCCTGGCAAAGATTTCAGGGTCATTGGCAGCCCCTTTGTTAAATCTAACTAAGGTCGTTAGAAGCAGTTGCAGAAGCTCCATCTTTTATCTCCACCCACCCCTCTTTTGACTAGGCTTCGTTAGTTGGAACAAAGTCGATATATTTGTGAACGATATGCATAAAGCCTCCGAATCCAGAAAACTCATTTGCTTAGTCACTGTTAGTATTACCGCTCGTGGATATTCCATAATTTCGAGGAAAAAAGCATGTGCTTAATTACTTGATTTTGTAAATGATTAGGCTAACCTGTAGGAGGCAGGAGATGCCCTCATTGTTTTCCTCATGGTCATCTTTTTCTCCAATAAGTTCTATCATTTTTAAAGTATCTAGGTGGCTTAGGGTTTATTTTTGATCTTTTAAATCATATAACGGGTTAACCGAGTATGAAATCAATTGAGAAATGATCTTTTTAAAAGATGATAAATATTATTTTTTCCATGCCTTTTGTCATTCAATATTTTATAGTTTTTAAAAATAGGGTAAACATAAATGATCCCGACTATAGGTGGTGTTTTATTGAATCTCATGAACTATCAAAAGTTATAAAATGATTCATTGGCTAAAAGATTTTACATTGTTTAATTCTATCTACTATTAAAAGTTATAAAATAATTATTCGATTGTCTATTATGTTTTAAATTCGTCTTTTTCATTAAAAATTTGACGGTAGTTTGAGTTAGATATTTTTTTTGAAAGATTGAGTTGGATACTAAAAATTATAAAATGATCATCCGATTATCTATCAATTGACTTTAGTGATAAAAAGAATGTTGTTCTTTTTAAACATTTCGAGTTTGAATAATTGTGTATGTAGAGTATTTATATGTTGTTAATAGGTTAAGAAAATTTTGAAATTATATTATTTTATAATCACCTAAATTATTGAAAATTGATTTATATTAAATAATTAAATTATTTAAGGAAAAGGATTTGAGGTTTTTTTAAGTATTTAAGTTTACCTGAATTAACAAAATATAAAAATAAAAAGTGATGATGGTAATCGGTAAATAGTAATTGAGTTTTCGGGTAAAATCAAAGAGTTGAATTATTCATTAAAATTTGAATATAGGCGGACCAAACCACAATCCATCTCTCTTAATGCAAAAAAACAAATTATTGATCGTGCATTGTGAAGGGCCGTAAACAATTTAAGAATATTGTTGAGTTTCACTCAACTTGAAAATTTTTGAAATGGAGTTTAATTTGATTCGAAATTTTATTGGTTTAAAATTTTTAAGTTTGAGTCGAACTTGAAATCATGAATTAAAGCTCATAAAAGTAAAAAAAATTCAAAGTAAAAAAAAAATTAACTCGATTAGAACTCAAACTCGAACTTAAACATTAAATATATGAAAATTTTATATTGTATATATTTAAAAAAAACAACACACATATTAATGTTATTAATAATTTAATTTAAAAAATAAAATTTTAATTATTATATTTTTGAGTTGTTCTCGAACTTTTCAAGTTGATATTAAGTAGTTTATTTCGGCTCATTAAAAAATCGAGTTGAGCCCATTGGAGTCTATATATCAAGCTTTGACAAAATCAATTCGAATATTCATGATCTATCTCGACTCATTTACATTCCTAACTGTAATTGTATGTAGTTACATTAACAATAAAGTTCGGCCACATTACTCGTGTTAGTCGGAGAAAATATATATTTGCAAAACTCAATCCTTTAATTATTTTCTTTCTTTAAAAAAAAAAACGATGGATAAAGAGTCCAATAGCATCTAACTTTACCTGTTTGACAGCAAAAGACCAAAGGAAGACAAGCCTTCCAAACATTTTCTGCAACAAAGATTCCACGCACCAGCAGCATGGTGAATCCTTCTACTGATACTGACCCACTCCAACAGAAACCCTTCTTCACCAAGGGAGCCCCAGTGGAGGTCAGCAGTGACGACGAAGGCTTTCGAGGCGCTTGGTACTCCGCCACAATTCTCGAAAACCCTCCCAAGTTCGCTTCCAAGAAGCGCAAGAAGGCCTTGGTTAAGTACAAAACCTTGCTCTCCGATGATGGCTCCTCCCATTTGACCGAGCATGTCGACCCCGCCTATATCCGCCCTTTGCCTCCTAATGACAAGGGCACTGCTCACCTCGACGTAAACGACGTCATCGATGCCAGCTACAGAGATGGTTGGTGGACTGGGGTTGTGAGGAAGGTTTTGAAAAAGTCCAAATACAGGGTTTACTTTGGCAATCCACCCGATGTCATTGAATTCGATAGGAAAGATTTGAGGGTTCATTGGAGTTGGGTTGACGGCAAATGGGTTCGCCCTGAAAAGCAGGTATGTGCCAGCATTCCCCCCCCCCTCTTTTTTAATTTTCGGTTCTCTTTTATCTGGAATTTTGGGGTTTTATTTTGCATTTGGGAGGTTCTTTTTTTTTTTTTTGGAGGAAAAGGTTGATTTCTGAGGTTCATTTATTTTAGGAATATATAATTTTCAATATTAAAACTGCTAATGTCCCTGCATGTAGCTTTTTACAGTGAAGTTTTGCTCTTTATATTATGCTTTGATGACTGCTACTAAAGACTCGTATATGTGTTTCACTTTCTATGCTTCCTTTGTTTTAGTTCTTCTACATTCGTCATATAAATTTAGATTGATCTGCATGAAACTTCATAATTCCCTCAATAATACATGCTGTTTTTTTTTGAAGAAAAAAATGTTTCTTTCTCCGCTATGTCCGATTTTACTTATGTCAACTTTATGTTTTGGTTTTCCTCTGTATCTATTGCTTAATTCTCTGGATTTTTTTCCTCTCCAAAATGGACTACTATGCCATCTCTTATTTGTCATTTGTTTTTTATTTTTATGCGTTCTAAAGCAATCAACAAGCTCCATTTTTAGCTCAGGAACAACTGTAGAGGTAAACATCGAAAATGAAAACATAGGCAATATTTGGTACCCTGCAGTAGTCATAAAAGAAAACGAGGATAATACTTTCCTGGTGAAGTATCAGAACTCTATGAATGATGATGAGTCTGGGACAGCAAAAGTTGTTGTAGATTCCCTCCATATCAGACCCGCTCCTCCTCGATATTTGGATAGAAATTATGAATTGCTGGAAGGAGTGGATGCAACATATAATTTTGGTTGGCGAAGTGGAGTAATTACCAAAGTTCTTACAGGAAGAAGGTACAATGTCTTTTTTAAGCATGGAAATGAGGACAAAGAATTCTGTCTCTTCGATATCAGACCTAACCTTGAATGGATTGATGGCAAATGGGTTAGTAAATACAAGGTATCTCTCCTATTACATTGTGTTTGTCACATATCTTTAGTCTTATTAAAAGGCAAAGGAAATACATATTTGAAATAAGCTTAAGCAATAAGATTTTTTTTTCAGGAAGTCATAATTGTGTCTGATGAGCAAGAGCAGATAGAAATTGCTCCCTGTGGTACCCAAAAGACCAAGGTGGATGGAGAACTTGAAAGTTCCTTATCCACAAAAGAAAACACTCAAGATAAGACTCCTTTGACAAAGATGAACAAAAATGCTGTGGAGAAGTCAACTTCCACCGATGAAAACAATGCTTTGAAAACAAGCAAGAAGAAGATCAAGCTGGAAACATCAAATGGTAACACTTTTCGCTCACGGCCTTCAAAAAAGCTAACTGAAGGAAATGCAGTGGAGACACCGGTATCAGTCACAGCCGATAAGTTAAAAGGTATGCCTATTGAAAAATTGTGTAAAGATGGCACTCCAAGGACTGGTGGTAAAGGTGCTAAATTCTCAAAGAAAACCGTGATTGGTGATGAGCCTTGTGACAAGATTGAGTCCCTGACAACAGGAGCAACAACTGTGAGTTAGATTTGTTCTTTGGAGTTATATTGTTCATGCTAATACCGTCGTATCATTTTCATTTCCTCTGTTGTTTTCTTTTGGACATTTTAATACATTTCTCTTTTATGATGAGAAATGTGTAAATATCACTTTAAAATCTGGTGTACTTTACTATTGTGTGGTATCTGTATTGTGTCTTTGAGTTGCCTTTCCTTGAACCACACAGCTTCTAGAGCTTCAATGTGTTAAGAGTATGATTTGTTCTAAAATATGCTAGAAAATCATGTGTTCCTTCAACTGCAACCTTTGAAAGCCAACTTATTAACAAAAAAGTGAAAATTAGCTTGTGGCTTTGAAATCATGACTAAAAACAATCATATCTACATCGTAAAAAATTGGCCTGCTTGACGTAGTTGTTACCGCACAATGGGTTGTTTCAAGGGTTAAGCAAACTTGTTTTTCAACTAGGATATTCAATGTGCCCTACTCGCTCTGCAGCAAACTGCTTCAAATGACTGCCTTTTCTGTCAACATCACCGTTCTAACTGGGTAATGATCATTGAGTATTGTCACTTTGGTTTTGTTGGCTCCATCAGCCAGTATTCCTGATCAGCACTGTCTCCACTATCTTCATTTGACCTACATTTCCCCTTACTGATGCAGACAACTAAGAGGCAGAAAGCTGGTTCAGCTGACAGTATGACAAATAACCTTGTGACAAGGAATGTCAGAGCTATAAAGTCACCAAGTAAAGGCCCACAGGGTACAGCAGCAGCTATATATAGCCATCGGTACGCATGCTCCAGTTTGATTATTGTTTAAAAATAATGCGTATTACATATTTTCAGGCAAGGATGGAGCTACATGGATTGCTGCAGGAGCTAATCAAGGGGAGATTAAAACAAAAGAAGCTGAAATGCCCATCGTCATAGGATTAACAGCGGTCACAAAGACTTTACAGGTTGAAAATTCCCTTCAGATTCTTAGTGAGGATCCTCAGAAGCTAATGGGGGATCAAAAGAATAATGTAAATGATTCAGTCAGAAATGAGAACATGGTAGGCAAAGTATTCATATTGGTCTCTGGCTTAGAGAAAACTACCAAATTTGAAATGCCTCAAATTCTTAATGGGAACAAGTTTGTCATTAAACTATTGGACGTACTTAATATTGATATATATTTCTTTTCCATTGTCATGATCATAGGTAAAAGAGTATATCTAATGTTGTCTTATATATAATGCCTGATGAAGTGAACTTTTGGGTGTTGTCAGCTCATTTTCTTAAAATAGAAAATTTTCTTGAGCCTGCTCCCTAGCCTGCGTCTTGTATCTTAAAATGTTATCAAATATGTAATGGGAATCCTCTTTTTTGATTTGTGTTCCTATATCTATGTTCCTTTACTTGTAATTGTCACTATTGCTCTTACTTGTATAGGAAGGAAAGGAGCATAAAGTTGGAGCCAGCGATCTTAAAAGGAAGGGGGGAAGACCTACTAGATCAGTAGTTACAAGTACAAAGGCTTCTGATGCTGGTATATAAAACTTAAGCTTCAGCTTTTGATGGGTGTATGAAAATCTGTGCAATGTAAACTTTATTACGATTGGTAGTTACGGAGCAAAATAGGGCTGGAGGAATTACCGATGAAAATGCTGTAAAAGATTGTACAAGTGGTGAAGCTGGTTTGTCAAAACATAAGGGGTGGAGCTGTCTGGTACATGGGGGTCTAAGTTCTTGGTCTGCCATTGTTACTAATAAGCCTCAAGGAAAAATACAGAACTGTTGTATAAGGCTCTCTTGGTAACATTTGATTAAGCAATTCCCAATGTTTTAACCCAAGTGTACTTGTACACTATGGGGATGGTGAGAAGAGATATATTTTACATCCCAGAGGGGCTATAATTGGAGATTCCATTGTTTATGGTATAGAAGTTCCTATCAGAATGGGAAACGTCCTACCTTTGAGTGTGGTTTGAACTATTTATTTACGCAATTGAAAGTGACCAGCAGTTTTCTTTTTCTTAAATGATTTTTCCAAGTAGTAGTATGCTAATTGCTAGAATAGTAGAGTAGATGTAATGGGAGCAGTTTCCAGGGAAAAAGGATTTGGCTAGAGATTCATGTGAAAGAAGGTGATATTTTTGTTGCACGGGGGCTGGGGGAGGGGAGGGTGATGTCGAGAAGAAAGGTTATGCATGTACCAACAACATTTTCTCGTTTCTTATCCTGTCTTTTACCTGATGTCAATGTAATTATCTGTTATCTTTTGTGGCTTATGGTTGCCTTATATATTGTAAATTAACATCCCATCTGTTAATTATGTAGCCACTGAAGATTCTAGAGGAAGGACAAGTGATAATTACAAAACAAAAGAGGTCCACTTGACCACTCATGGAATTTCTGACATGGTTGATGAGGATCAACCTCTTTCAACTTGGATAGGAGGAATGAATACTTCAGGTGATGAAGAAACACGTAAGATGTGTCATCAGATTTATGTATTTCGTTTCTTTTCTCGATCCGTTCCTCTCACTTGCTTTGTGCGTACATAAATATAGACCATCACTTGGATTTTATATTTGTGACATTTTTAGCATCTTTTTTTTCCTAGGACTCCAGTCTGCTAGGCTTGTCAGTGGATGGAATGAGGAAAAAGGATTGGTTGATGTTCCAATTGAATCTCTTACGATTGATGTTATTGATAGAAGTCCATTGATTAATGATCAGAGTTTGCCTTTTGTGAAGAGATCGCCTGTATGGCGAACAATTGAATCTATGGATATCTTCCGAATTGTTCCTCAAAAACCACATTTTCTACCTTTGGCTGAAAACAAAGAGGAATTTCGTGAAGGATCAGCAATTGGTATCATGGTAACCTTTGCTAGTTTATTTGAGAAGATATCTATGTTGCATTTTGATGAACCTAGAGATACATTTGACAGCATTTTGGAAAGTCTTAGTGACTTGGAAAAGTATGGATTCGATGTTACCATGCTTAGGCACCGCTTGAATAAACTACTTTCAATCAAAGAAGGACATAATCAGCAACTAGAGGAGAGACAAAATGCTGAAAGGGAGATAGTTGAGAGTACAAAGGAGATATCTAAATTAGATGATGAGTTGGAAGAGATCGAAAAGAAGATTACTCAGTTACAAGAACAACATACGTCCATAAAATCGGAGAAGGAGACCAAGAATCTTAAGGTTGGTAATTTTAAGTCGCATGTCTGTGTTCTAAACAAACTTTGTCAGAATGCATCTCATGAGTTTAAGAAAATAGCTACTGCCTCGTGGAAGTTGTCGTAACCGACTGCTGGTGCTACTCATCGGTTTCATCTTCATACTGCCAAGATCCCTGCATCACAGGTGACAGTTTAAATATGTGGATTCAAATTGTTAGCATAAATTAGTAGATGATCTATTTTGATTCATGCATATGAATGTATCAGCTGTTTCATGTACATAAATTATGTTTGGTAAGTAGCTTGTCTTGTAAGTTACAAACTTGAACCTGCTTCCCAGACTAGAATTGGTGAAATTGTGAAGCTCTTTAATCAATATTAGTGATTCTGGTAAACATAGTCCACGTTATAAATTAATAAATAATATGATAATGGTATGGATACATATTCGAAATTATGTGGCTTATCTAAAATCTCTCGATATTTGATATTTATATTAAATACGCGATGTACGATCATGTCGAGACCACATACATTATATTTTAAAAAAAAATCTCTGTTAAAGTACATATGTGATACGTCACAATTTCAAAGAAAATTCACTTTTTAGTACTACGGCCATTGGTTGTTGGAAAGGATGAACTTATAGGACAAACCACAATCCACAATCTTCTGAGATGTGTTGCAATTAGGGTTGTAAATGTGACGAGATAGATCGTGAGCTACTTGAGATCGACTCGATCAAGGTTCGATAAATACACGGATCGAATGACTCGATTTGAGCTCGAGCTCTTAACGAGCCGAAACGAGCTATTCGATATTCGACTCGAAAAGCTCGTGAGCAGTTTAAAAAAAATGTTATATTATAATTTTAGATTTTTTAAAATTACATTATTAAAAATATATGAAAAATACACTATTGATAATTATAAAATTTTAAAAATATATTAAAAATTCTATAATACAACTACCTCAAATTTTAATTTTTTTAATTAACCAGCTCAAGTCCAATTGTTACATTGTATATTACTAAAAGAAAAATAAAAGTCCATTTAATTAAGCAAATATTAGATTACACGTGTTTGGTTGATTTTTTTTCTTTTTTTTTTTAACTTTTTACTGCACAAGTATTTGACAACGTAGAAAATAAAATAAAAAATAAGAAAGCAGGCAAACAATAGAAAAATTGAAAATGGTTAAAAATTATTTTTGAATAAATATTCTTATATTTATTTTAAATTAATAAAAAAATTATTTATTTAATCACAAATATTTAATATATTTCTAATGATAATATTTTTAATAACTAATTATTTAAATTGTTGTTATATTTTGAGGTTTTGGGTTTAAATATCATAAATATAAAGGGTTTGAGCATTTAATATCCAGATACTATATTGTGCTTACCTTATAAATCGGTACCAAGTCGAATAATTAATGTCTTTGCAATGAGCCCTAAATCCTAAACCCTAAACCCTAGACCATAAACACTAATCCATAAACTCTAAACCCTAAACCCTAAACCCTAAACTATAAACCCTAAACCCTAAATCCAATTATATAACAAGGGTTCTTATTCTAAAATAATTAACAACTAAAATAACATTTATCTCTTTAAAATATTACCTAAACTAAAATGTGCTTACACGACACATGCATGCATACGAATGAAATGCACGTAGCCACATACATTAAGATAAAACAATATAAGATTAAACCTACTATTAATAACTTAAACTCATATTTAAAAAATTCCATGAAGGACCAAAATAATAGAAAACTTAAAATAGGCATACAAAGTAGAAATTACTCATTAAATTAAACAAGCCAACAAAGAGATTACATTGTCAAATAATTAAAATTACAAGACATAATTGAAAACAAGCACAAATTGAATGAAATTACACTCGTCGTATATGAAGGATATCTAGGGTAAAAACTTTTACCCTATTCATTTCCCCTCAAACTTTCCCTGGCTAACACTTCCCCCCTCGTTCTCCTCTCAAACCTCGTCCACTCACAGCCCTAGCAGAAACCCACAGTCACCGTGGCCTAAACGCTCCCCCGAGACTCTGAAGAGAAACCTAGACCTCAAACCCTTCTCCTAAAACTAAACCTTAACCCTAAGCTTCTCAAAACAACACTCACACCCTCATTGTCGAACCATACGACCGCCGTAGGTTTCCCTTTTCGAAAGCTCCGCTGAGGAACCAAGATCCCAAATAACCCTCACTTTACATTTTCTTAGAACCCTAACCTCATAATCCCCAAACCCTAGAACAACCATAGATCCAAGGCCAAAAGAGATTACCCTTGGTGACTCAAGGCAACTTTGACTCTGGGCGACAAAGGCAAGCTCCCATCGACGGGGAAGGTAAGGTTTTACTTACTGGTTCTCTGGCCACTAATGGCTTTTGTTGCTCGAATGTTTTTTTTTCTATTTTGGTTGATACCCGTTGTTTTGGGTGCCTGATAGGTTATATGGTTGTGGTTTGATAGACTCTTTAGGGTTATATTCCTTTCTTTTTTTGTTCTCTCTGATAATTGAGATTATATCCTAAAATAGACACTCGAAAGTCGAACCAGAGAAAGCAAGCTATCTGACTTTGATCTCGAAACACGACAAACTGTAGAGAAGATGATGGTAATTAGTTCTTCTTTTCGTACGATATTTTGCTTTTGGCTGTTTACATTTTAGATCCATCATAAATCGTAGTTTGTACTTGTCACAAATTGTGTTCTTTGTTGCAGTTCGACCAAAGACAGAAGTCCATGTGCCTTCCAACCAGTGACGAACTTTAAAAGCAGGAAATTCTAAAGAAATTTATGTCCGAGGTAGTTATTCTCTTCCGAAACATGTTTATCCAACCCACTTTACTAATCCTTATATGGATGGAGCTTTGCTGATAAAATTTGCTCAATGTTTTTTGTTAGCTGTGGGAGTAAGTCTCTGTTTATTTTAACTTTCCTTTTGGGTGCAAAAATAGAAACAATGAACTTTGCTCGCTGTGGGTATTTACAAATATTTGAGACATCAGTTTTTGCATTTAGAATTAAAGCAATTGTCTGAATGTGGATGTTTGATATGACTTGAAAATTCAAAAACTTGAACTTTTAAGCCTGATTTAAAATCAAAATTTGAAACTCGACTCGAGTTTATAGAACTTTGAACTCAAAATAGTTTCAAATTTAACTTGATAAAGAAGCTTGAATTTGAACTCTTGTACGAACCTCAAGTACATTAAGATATTATCTTATATTTAAAAAAACAACATATAAATGCTAATATCATTAATAATATTATTAAAAATGTAAAAGTTTTAACATATTATTTTTTGAATTGCAAAATTGAGATTTTTTAGAATGAACTTATTTTTGACTAACACAGCCCCTTATTTTGACAGTGAGGCTCGAACGGCTAGGAGGCAAAGCGGGATGAACTACAACTAAGGTAAACGTTTAAGCTATCTCCTTTATGACTTTGACTTGGTTTAGATTCAAAACGTTTAAGCGAACCATCTTCTTGTTGCCGCGCTATGTAAATGTTACAACTCGTTTCTTTGATAAATTGGCTGAAGCTGCAATGATTGTTTTGTTGACAGGTTGTACTGGACAAATTGGTTAAACCATCAAACCCCATCACTGATTACAACACAAGGTAAATGTTATTTTAACTGTTGAAGTTGGGTCTTAATATATTTTGTTCTTAAATTGCAGATGAGAGGCTTTAATTGGATACTGATGAAGGCATTTTAATTTGCACATTTTATTTTTCCAGAGGCATGAAGATTATGTTTCTTTTATCTACAATCTCTTAGTGCCATGTTATTGGTATAAATATTAGTTGGTCAAGAGATGCTGGTTATTTTTTTTTTTGTAAAATTTTCTCATGTTTCAAATTATGTCCGAATTTGGATCAGAAATTTGATATCTTCTGTCCCAACTCGGAGATCTTTCTCCCTCTCTCTCTACACACACACCCTTTTTATTATCTCCTTTCGATAGGCCACTTCATAATTTTCTATATTGGTCACGCAGGTTTAGTGGAATAACATATGAGATGTTGAGTGGAGTTACTTCGACTCTTCAAGATGTTCAGGTTCATTGTCCTTCATTGACCATCACTAATCAATAATTTACTGCAATATTGTAATATCAATGTTTCATTAAAAGTTATTTCATATATAAATTATTGATAGTTGCTTCTCATCTTCAGACCGGACATGATAGCATCGAAGATGCAAGAGCTGCTATGGATTTGTCTCTGTTAAAGATTAGAAATGGCAAGTAATTATTTTCTATGCATTCACACATTTCAACTTCTCGAGATAAAATTTGATATTTTACTGGAGTCAAGGAATGTAGCATCTAGGAATATGTACACTATGTTCTTTTACATCAAGAACTCAAATATAACTTATAGCGGAAGGTTCATCATACGGTTATTTTTTTGTCTTGATGTATAAACTTGTATATAATTTCTTGTAATGTCTTTGCTTCTTGTGTTAGGACCTGATTTTGGTTCGCCACCATCCTTTATGCGCAGAAAGCTCCTTACTCTTTTCGCAAGACCTCCTCTTTCATTGATGATATTTCCATGGTCAAGCGATATGCTTCCGAGTCATCCCATGCAATCCCGGTTTTCTCTGATGATGAAGCACTTTTAAAGGCTAGAAAAGAGGTAAGGCTTATTGCTTTCCTGGTATACCTTTATCTATCCCGTCTGGCTTATCATCTTATATTATGTGTTCTGCTAGGTCAAGAACGATCGTGTACACTTTGTCTGGACACAGTTTTCCGAACTGAACTCCTATTTCGGAAAACAAGCCGAGGATGATTTCAGAAAACTTCAAAGCTTATATTAATTATCCTAAATTTCTTGTAATTGTATTTTTATTTTTTAGATTTTTTATAGTTCATACATTCATATTATGATGTATTGGTGATGGTTAATTAAAGGGAAAATTATTTATATAATTTAAATGTAATATAAAATTTTTGTAGGTTAAAATTCGAGTTTGAGTTTGAGCTTGAATCGAGCTCGAGTCTCGAGCTTCAGTCGAGCTCCTGAATTTTTTTGAGTTCAAGCCTTTTCGAGTTCGAGTCGAGTTTCAATATTAGCTCAGTAATACTCGAGTTCGACTCGGCTCGTTTACACCCCTAGTTGCAATGAGACAACCATAACATGCAAAATAAATAATTATATATATTACATATTTCCAAGCTATAATCTTTTATACAAATAAAAATAGCTAACTTTATTAAAAAATATTTAAAATTATTAATTAACTTTACAACCAAGAGCATAAACTAAATATGTAATTAGGACATTTCTTATAACAATTGATATAATAAATTGATCACTTGAGGTCATACAATGACCATGAAAGAAAAAGTTTGAAACTCATTCAAAAAACTTGAACAAAATATAAATGTGAACAAATATGACCGCATCGATAAACGAACCACAATAGATGATCAAACTACTGAAAGACACCAATAATAATAAATCAGAGTCAAATATCATGAGAAAAGTATCTTTGAATGTAAATTGCACATCCAACTTCAATATGAGTATCTGAGAAGTGAATATCAACAAGATAGTAAATAAGAGTCATATTTATCATCGAAGCAACATCAAATCTAATCATGAAAAAATTAAACGAAGAAAACAATCGAACGATTGATAAAGAAGACAAAACACGTATCAAAAGAAAGAGAAAAGTACCATAAAAATAGAGGAATGTGTGTCATAAAAACAAAGTTATTATAAACTTAAAAAAAACGATATAAGGTAAAAGAAAAACAATGACCAAATGATGATGAAAGAAAGGTTTAGGGAAATCTAGTACTTCCTCATAAGTGGCGCAAAAGTTAAAAATTGGTAATTTCAAGTTATAATTCTTTGTGCATAATGCTAAAATTATCCTTCACTATTTATCAAAAATGATGTTTTGGTTTATATATATTTTAGAGCATTTTGATACTTAGCGTTTTATTATAGGACAAAAAAGTCCCTATTTTAAAGCATTAACTACTTTGTAACTAATGATTTCTATTCTTAGATGTATTTTTTGCTAAAATGAAATGTTAGGACTAAAATACTCCAAATAAAAAAGAAAATAACTATTGAATCAGTTATTAGAACTGTTTTTTTTGACATTATGTCTTTTTATGATGTCCCAAACTCTCTTTTGAATATTAATAAAACATCAGGATCCAGTTATACCTAATGTAAAACTAAAAGTTTTACATCTTTTTAGGACCGTTGGATTAGGAAAATCAAACATGGAGATTAACGGTAGGAAATGAGAAGATATTCACTGGGAAAAAAATGGAGTTAATCTCGGCCTTTGATTTTCCTCATTCAATGATTCTAAAAGGTATAAAACTCTTAGTTTTACACTGGGTGTAAGAAGATCATAACTTAAATATATGAAAAACAAGTAGTCAAACTTTATAAAAGAAATAAAAAAATTCTAAACCCTAAACCCTAAACCCTAAAACACATACCTTAAATCCTAAATCATAAACCCTAAACTCTAAAGCTTAAATCTCAAACCCTAACCTTAAAATGAAAAAATATATATTTTTACTACGAGTTAAAGAAATATTTATTTATGTGTTATAAATTTTAATTAAATTTAAGTCATTTATTTATTTAAATTTAATAGCTATAAATTGGTGCAAACTTATTAGTTTTATATCGTGTAAGTGAATCTTAACCCTATGTATATATGTGTGAAAATTGTATTGTTCATGTTATTTTAATTTAAGAAAAAATGGAAAATAAAATGATTTAATAAAGGCGTAAATCAAATGTATGATATTATACAACCAAAACATTATGCTTATTTTTATGGTAAGTACAAAAAAATGTTTATGCTACAACTTACAATGAAATATAAAGTAGGTCCAAGACGAACATAGATATTAATGGTACATGGCAAGGAACAAGTTAATAAATTCCTTAGGGTTTATTAACAATTCCTTCATTACCCACCAAGATCAAGTACTTGTCTCTTCTGGTAAGCCTGGTGCAACCAAAACCAAGTGCTTTCCCAATCTCACTCTGAACATGGTTAGCCACATCAAACCTCGACCTTTCACCATCATCGTCACAAGACGTCAGGCCGGACACACCAGCTAGGACCTGTACTTTGTAGCTGGGACGTGGGTTCATGGTGAAGAACAGTGGGTCCAAACATTTCAAGCCACCAGCTGTCGTGCCGTAGAACATGCTAACGTGGCTGTCCATGGCATCCGGGATTATATAATCGCTCATCTCAGCAAACAAAGGGCTGAACCTCAAGAGATAAGGCTCCCTACACGTGGTTCCTTCGGGGCACACAACTAGGTCCCCTTGCTTTAATAGCTTTCTCAACATCTTACCATCTCGATCACGATCCCTGCTTAGTCTCACGGTTTTGATCGGCGCTAACAGCTCCGACACCCTGCTTAAACTGTAAGTAACGGTGGTGAGATCCTTCTGTAATGAAAACGAAAGGCAGAGTGGATCCAGCAGTGTTCTGTGGTTGCAAACGTAGAGCCCACCGCCTTTGGTTTCCGATTGATGTTTAAGTTTTCGCACGACGAATCGGAAGAAAAGGAGAGGCGGAACACGGTGAAGGCTAATATAGGGACGGAGAGCCTATGAGGGAGCATTAAGGCAGTAATGACTCGGACGATTGAAAGGGTGAAGCCAAAGGGGAGCCACATGAACATGGCAAGTGTGGCTAATGGTGTTGGGCTGAAAGCCAGTTTCCATCGTTGAAAATGAGAGGTTTCATGAATTACTCTCTCGGTACGTGTTGCAATTTTTAGTGGACACATATGTATTAATAATAAAAAATTTTCATATGAGACATACACAAATAAAGTTTTAGTGGATACATTCAATAAAATAAATAATTAATATAAAGAAATTTAAATTTAAGAGTGAACACATTCGATAAAATGAACAACTAATATAAAGAAATTAGGATTCAAAAGTGTACACGTGCACAGCCTGAAATATACATGCATCCGCCGGTGGTTGCCTGCTTCTCTTGTGGGCTCTTCTTTCCAGGTAAATTTCCTGTTGCACCAAATGCATTAAACTAGCAACGGTTAACCGAAAATGTACAAGAATGTCAAAAGATCGTACTTAGTACTTACATTGAGAAGACAAATGATATTGAAGTGATTCCTTAAAGCTACTGATGCCAACCAGATCTGACCATGGCTTCTAGTCATCGTCTCCAAAGCATCATTGCTTTTTTTCTTGTCTTCCATGACGCCCAAGAAGTATCCACCAAACACCTTCATTGCTCTACCGACCACACAATCAATCCCCAGATAATCCTTCAAGAAACTCTCGATCACCACTATATAGAGAGAGTTCTACACGGTTGCGACTCGCTATAGAAATTCGAGCTACGAAGATTGAATAAGGACCAAATATCTATATGCCATGGATCAACAGCTCTTTTTTTTTAATATAAGAGAGGCTCAGATCATGAGTTTTATAGGCAATAGTCATCCTATAGGGACAAAGGTGTCATTTTCAACAAGATTATGAACTAGCAAAGGATCATGGGAACGTCATTATAAAAAATCAACTGAAATTTGTCGAGATCAATCATGTTATCATGCCATCTGTTTACATTAACTTCACGATAAATCCATTTAATTTATGTTGTTCTGCTTTTTGTTCGTAGTTGAAAAATTGCTCGAATTAAAGATAAACTATTTTCTGTTTGAGTTCAATCGGTTTGAATTTGGAAAAATTTGAAGTCATAGGACCTTGATGTGGTTTGAATTTGTTCGTACTTATTTCAGATTAATCTAAAAATCAATTAGAACCAACCACATGACAACTGTGGAACGAGTAATCAGGATGAATGATATCATAATTCCATACTAAAGTCTAGCCCAGAGCACTATAAATAATCATGTAGGAGAGAAAATGATAATGACTTCAATTATTATCCTCCATGGCTGTTTGTATTTTGTTAGTCAACAATGTGTTTCCACAGCTTCCAAATCAAAGAAGAGAATAGGAATTTCTATCAAACTAAATACACAAAGCAAGACTGTTGCATAACCAGTCATCAACATGAGAAGAAAAGGAATCTTAATAAGGTAGTTGGGCAGAAGACTTTCCAATAGACGTTTTGCGGCTGGATACTCTTAACCCTTATGCTAACAAAAGGGGTTAATTTCTAACTTAACCCATAAACACTGGTTAAAATATGAATTTAGTATTTTGTTTTACAAAATTTTAACAATAATTATTAAAAAAACTATTTTTTTAAATTATTGAAAAAGTTATTTAAAAACGAAAATAGATATATAAATTTCTTTTAAAATATGTAAACAATCCTCTAAAGTATATAGAATTATAAAAAATAAGGAATTAGGGGTATATTTTACCCATGAAATAATAAAAATAAGGGATTAAGGGTATATTTTACCCCTGAAATAAACCGAAATCAACAGTTTCACCTCTGGGTTTTAATTGCATCAACTATTCCATTAAAGTCATTTAATTTTACCCGATCTTATTATTAACTAGCATTGATTGTTATAGTATTGACATGATAGTTAACAACGTTGATGTGAAAATCTATCATGCTAATATGATAGTCTATTATGCTGACATGAAGTTAACAATACTAATGTGACGATCTACTATGTTAATGTGGTGGTACTATGTACTAATATGATATTTCATGTGTAAATGATGACATAGTAGAGTTATTGAATTAATATTTTAGCTGAGGGTATGATTGACTTTTGTCTGATTTTAAAGATATATTGATTTTAATTGAAAGTTTGATGATTTATTTAATCTTTTAACTAAAAAATAAATTATTAAAATATTCATAAAAATATTAAAAACACTAAAAATAAGTGAATTATAAAATTGAAAAAAAATCAAAAGTTATAAAATAATAAATTATAAATATAAAAAACTAAAATTTTAAAAATTATT